TTATAAAGTGCACATGATTGATAAGTGGCTAGAAAACATTATTTATTATTTTTAATTTCATAATTTTTGTAATGGGCAAAGGGCGGAAGTTATTTGTCAAATTGACTTGTTGGTGATTTAAGGGGATCCGGATTAAATTTTAGCCACTATAATACATTTGAAGAATGAGAAGTTTAGGTGGGAGACTATAAATACTCACAAATTATTATATAAAAGACAGATGGTGTAGGAATGAAATTATTAAATACCAACATTGAAACATTTAGAATTGGAATTTGAGGCTAATTTTTTTGAACTTTTCAACAAAAATATCTTCTTTGACTAGGGGCTCACCAATCTTCATTTTAAATTCTAGCCAATGGATTTGATGAGTTGTGTATCCTCCCGAACATACTTAAATTTGGTGATGATCTAACGGTCAAATGGAAAGATATTGTAACCAAGCCTGACATATAGAAGTTCGAAAAAATAATACTTTCTACCATTCTTGAGTCCTATATTTTCTTTTAAGTCTCCATAGTTACTATTTCCAAACTTTTAATTTTTATTTCTTTTCATCATTTTTTTAAGAGAGAGTTTTATTATATTAGTGAATATATAATTGTGAGTATTCAAAAAAGTTGTGATGTATTCTTCAAAATTCAAATATTCATAATAGTATGATTCTAAGTTGTGGAAAAATTGAGTTTGCTCTTGAACTCGTAAAAAGAGTGGTATAACAGTTTTTCTCCAATCTGTGAAAAGAGTCGAGAGAGTGTTTATTCAAATTTCCAAGAGGTGTTTGAGAAGTAGGTAGGTCGAGATTGACCGAACCATTATAAAATTATAGGGGTTATTTTCTCTAACTTCGTCCTAATTAATTTTTATATCATTATTGTGATTTCTTTATTTTTCATAATTTTTTATTTTTTAAAATTGAATATAAAAAATTAAACATACATAATTTAAAAAAAAAAAAAACTATTGACCCCTCCGTCTAAAGTTGCTATACCAATCCAACACTGGATGACTTATGGCATAAGGTAGGTCGAAGTAAAGCAATACCTCATGATATGGGTGTCTATCAGGCTTATGACACAACCTAAGCCTATGGTTCTAAGGGTCTTTCATAAAAAGGCTTAAGTCCCAGTTTAAGCTCACGACATTCTATAAGGTTTATTAGCCCTAATCCAAGCATACATGTAATAATAATAACAAACCATCGTAAAATCATGCGCAATGCAACCATAATACCATAAGTAGATGTCATGCAAGTTTCGTGTGATTTGAAGTTGATTAAGCCCCTAAAGTACCATAAAATGTTCATTAGAAGCACTTTTACCATTATAACCTTTAACGTTGGTTTATAACCTTAGACATGCCTCTATGATTTTTAAGTTCAATATCTATCATTATTCCATGATATTATGTCATACTTAATTTCATGCAAATAAATATTATAAGTGGGTCAATTTCATATATTACTCGGTTTTAGTGCCTATTTGTTAATTCCTAGGAAAAAACATAATCGGATGGTTACTACCTTGTTTGGGCACACTCCTGGGTTCAATTCAAGTCCTTCCCAAGCTCAATTTTCTCCAAAATTTCTTAGGATGGGTCACATATATATATACTTGAAGGCTAGATCAAAATGAACCAAGGCCGGACCATTTAGGTGATTTGACCACATCATCGTCTTCTCTATTAAGATAGATGAGGACGTGACAAAAGCTTACCAATACTGCCTATAAAATTGCCTCCTCCAAGCTCGTAGGGGGTCCTCAAGGGTAAGTTTCTTCATCAAAATTCAAGCCATGTCAACCATGAAGCTATAGGAATTGATTTCAATTAACTTAGTGTGCTAAATTTTTTCCTCCTTCATCTATAACGATTCAGTTCAGGATTTGAAATTCGAATTCGTCACCTAATGATCCCGTTGACTCCAACAACTCGAATAGAGTAGGGAAGGAGGTTGCTTACCTCCTCAGTTTCCAAAAAGTTTCCCTTCCTCGTTTGTAATGACCCATGCCGAAAATTCTCCTCAATTCTAATAGTAAAGACTATCCCCACAAATCAACACGACTTCTTCCCGCATGGTTTGTCCTAAATTCATATGAGAATTCGAAATCCGAATACGACATTCGATGACCTTGACATTCTTCAATTTGCGACATGGTCACGTTACTTACTCCTCGTTTCTAAGAGTAAAAACTATCCCCACAAACCAACATAAATCTTTCCAACACGTTTTTTCCTCACTCACATGGATCCTAGGAAATTTTCCAAGAGGTCAATCAATATAAAATTGCTCAAAATAAAAGTTCTTACGATAAATCACTGAAAAAGAAGGGGTGTCTTGCCTTTACCTGAAATAGATAAACACAACAATAATAAATAATTAAAAACATGAAATGCAAAACGACCTATACTTACCTAAGTCTAATAATTGTGGTGTCGTTGTCAGTCGTACAAGGGTGTCTTGCCTTTACCTGAAATAGATTTAGCACACGGCCCAAGTATTTTGAGAAATACTTAGTAAGTGACCCTACTATTGGCCCGAGAAAATGCAAACACACGCAACTCATGCTCTAAGGACCTATCATTAAAACCATCATACGGGTGCCTCCAGTCCAAACTAAATTGGATGTGTAGTATTTTCCTACACATGACTCACAAGTACAAGCACGCATTCTCAAGCGGTTCGCACCCCCTAGACCCATCATAGTCGAGCTAGCTGCCTGTAGCAACATCTGGAGGTCAGCAGACCCCTGAGTGTCATGCGAGACATAATCACCATCATCATCGGAGCGTAGGCGTCCATAATCATCATCGTAAAAAGGAAAGTAACCCGATGTTTATGTACACAAAAAATGCACGAGGTCCCTATAGTTTCTCATCTTTAAAACATGTTTTGACACAACCGTAAGTTCTACTTACATTTATATGAGTAGTATATGTGCATTGGTCTTCTTACATAAATCATCATTAACATTAACCAAGGTTGTATCCTAGAAAAATCGTCATCATAATGCAACATGACATTTAAAACATGCATTTCATCTTAATATGAAAAATAACGTCATATTAAGGAAACTTCATAATCTCACATCATCATCATCATACAACTCATTATATAAGACATCATAATCATTGTAAAACATGATAAAGCATCATCATATCACTCATTGTAATAGCCCAAAATAGATAAATAAATAAAAATGTCATGAACTCACCTAGGTTGACTTGGAATTCAAATGACAGAATCGAACTTTCATTAAGATAAATTCGTGACAACAATTTAAGCTAATAGGTAATCTTGCTCTAGTATAGGCTAGAAATTGTATGAGTTATGATAATGTATGAGCTGTATCGTATGATGTCATATATTAGTATATGATGATTTATGAGTTATGTTGATGTATGAGTTATAATGCTTGAGTTATGATGCTTGATGATGTGCGTCATATATATAGTTTGATGTATGACGTACTTGATATGCTTTATGCACTTTATGGTGATATGATGAGTATGATGATTGCATGACATTTGTCTTAATATATTGATGTTTTTCATATTAAGCAGACTATACGATGATGAGTATCATATTGCATCATGTCGATAGACTGACATAGGACACAACTCTAAAAATGAAAATGATATTAATATAAATATCCAACGAGCAGATGTTACTTAATGTAACAAAGAGATGAGACCAGAGGGTTTTGTCAGAAGAGATGATAAGATGGTATTTAGAAGGACTTCATACATATTGTATGTTCATAAACATAGAGATACTTCCCCAGAGACGATGAGTGCGGATGTGCACAATATAATGATGATGGTGTCCATGGGGAGCATGACACTATGAGGTTCCGCTGACCTCCAGACATCGCTACAGATTAGCTTGACTAGAGGGTTCAGGGGGTGTATGAACACCTTGGAGATTCACACTCGAACGTGTGGGTCGTGTGTAGGGAAGTACTACACATCTAATTTACCCGAGATTAGAGGCGAGCCCAAGATAATAGAGATAGGTCTCAAGAGCATGATTACATGTGTTTGCATTTGCAGGGCCCCTTATAGTGGGGTCACCTACAGAGTATTCTTTGAAATACTCAAGCCGTGTGCCACATCATTTTTCAGGTAAAAGCAAGACACACATGTACGACGAACAACGACATCACGAATAGAAACTATAGCACGTGCATATGGTAGTCTCATTTAAATTCCTAGTCATACGATATAATAGGTTGTTTTGCATTTCATTGTTTTAAATTATTTTGTATTTATTTTTATTTTTTCTAAATTTTAGTATTTCATATTTAAGTACATAATACCGTGTCTATGTTTTCCAGAGAAGAGTATATTTTAAACATTTTCGACATTTGCACTATAGATGAAGTTTTCTTTTAAGAGTTATTTTTCCACATAAGAGATGAGCACGAGACATTAATAGAAATTTGGATTGAGGTATTGGTGTATAAGTTACCGGTTTTTTTTGTTGGTCTGGGTCTTAAAAATAGAGTTTCAATCCAAAGTTTTAGACTGAGTAAAAGAAAAAGATTTCTTCCATCCAATTCACTTTAACCTAATCTAATTCAGTGTGGTGTATCATATTCACTAAGTTGTATATTTAAAAACATCCAAATCGGGTTGATCAAGTTTCTTGTGAAGCTGGAATTAAAGATCTAACCTCAGACCATATTATTATATCATAGTTATAATATTTTTAAATGCGATGGTAATACAATTATAAATTTGGTAATGAGTTAGTAAGAAAAAATGATGACTTAACATTAATCAAAGTTTAGTTAAGTAAATGAGAATGAAATAAATGTGTGGATTAATTTAGGAAGAATGGGCCATTTTGTATTTTTGTTTGTTTAGCAAGTCCCAAGAACAAAGGAGTGTATGGTATGGTAGATTTGAATTTTAATAATCTTCCATTTCTCTCATCTCTGTGATACCATTTTTGTAACAGAGAAAAAAAATGATTTTTTTTTTTTTGGAAAACCTGAAAAGTTTACAATCAAATCCTTTGCTTCAACGTCAAAACCGTTCTCCATCGCCTCCTCTCTTCTCGTCTCTTCTCTTCTCTTTCAAATCCCATATTATTCCAATTCCCTAAAACACTATCTCTGATTCTCTTCCTTTTCTTCCCCTCTCTCACAAACCCTTTTTGATTTTGATTTGATCTACCACCACCCTTCTTCAGCATTCATTTCCCTTCCTACTTTTATGCTTTCTTCTTCTTCTTCTTCCTTTTCCTCCCTAACCCTTCTGTCCTCCATTTCTTTTTCGCCCTCCCTTCCGACATTTTTGGGATTGGATTAGTTTTTGTGTTTTCGCTTTCATTTTCTCTAAACTACTTCTAGGGTTTCCTTTTCTGCTCTCTTTAGGGTTTCCATCCTCCTTGGATTATTAGATTTGGGTGGGTGTCTTCTTGATTTCCCTCTTTTTCATCTGGGATTTTTTATTTTTCAACTGGGGAATCCTCATATTTTGTTTCACTCTGTTCTATGTTTGTTTGTTAGGATTGCTTTTGCATTTGGCAGTTTTTAACTCCAAACGCGAACGAATCCGTTGGGAACGAATTGTTTCTCCACCACTTGAAGTTTCCTTTTTGACTGAGAAGAGAATAGCCTTATCAAGAAATTCTCTAATTTCCATCTCTTTTTAGTTGCCTTCTCCCCTCTTTTACTGTTTTTTGCCTTTGGTTTGTTTTTGGATAAAGGAGGAAGAGATTGAGTTGCTTCTCTTCTGGGGGTTTAATCCTTGTAGAATTTATTGAGTTGTGGAAAAGTCTTGGCTTGCATGGGCGAACATGAGGGGTGGGCACAGCCACCTTGTGGGCTATTGCCCAACGGTCTTTTGCCCGATGAGGCAGCTACTGTCATGCGAGTGCTTGATTCCCAGCGATGGTCGAAGGCGGAGGAGCGAACCGCCGAGCTTATCGACTGCATTCAGCCCAATCCACCCTCTGAAGAACGGCGAAATGCTGTTGCAGACTATGTGCAGCGGCTGATCAGGAAATGCTTCCCTTGCCAGGTGCAATGGCATTTAAACACCCCACTTTGTTGTTCGCTATAGGGACATGTGTGTATATATCTCGTATGACTAAGAAGCACTGTAGTTCATCACAACACTCTTTTGAACGTGTGTTGTTGAGTGATAAGTAGTTGTTAATAGCATTTTTGTTTGTCAATATCCCTATGCTGTTAAATGATAGCCAGTCCTTGTGATGGAACATGTTGTCTACTTATATTTTTGAAATAGTGTGTTTGTGCCTGGTGATACCAATACCTTGTTTGTGTAATATGGGCCCTCATGAAGGTAATGTGATCTTAATATTGTCATTAACATTATTTAAACCGTTCCTCCCCCCTTTATGAACAATAATAGTTCCACGTTGCCTTGTTTTTTATTAATCTTGGTTATAATTTAGTCTTCAAGTGAAATGAGCTGGTGCAGCATTACTCAGTAAAAAAGTTGCTTTAGAAGATGAAACAAACGAATAATTTCGTTCTGTATTTCAGGAAAAGAAAATGAGGTTTGCTACCATGTTTAAGTTTCAAATCAGATTCACTTGCATAATGGAAAATTCTGGAATTAACTTTGATAATGGATAATTGAGCTTCCACGATCTTGCTTATTTTGTTGACTCAACCCAATTGGGAAGAATTTATACAATCATTCATACCTTGAAGGGTGTCATAGCCGGTCTTGTTGAATTCATGCCTCTTTTAATAAATTTTTTTTATGAGTAATTGGGTTTCATTTTGTTATGTTATTACTTACATGGGCTTTGTTTCCCCAGTTATTGCTTGTTGCAAATTGTTTACACGATGTTATGTTTTCCATTCATCTGTTATCTTTGCTCAAATTATGAATAAAATGTGCAGGTGTTCACTTTTGGGTCTGTTCCCCTGAAAACATATTTGCCTGATGGAGACATTGACTTAACAGCATTTAGCAAGAATTATAGTTTGAAGGAGACATGGGCCCATCAGGTTCGGGATATGCTTGAAAGTGAGGAGAAGAATGAGAATGCTGAATTTCGTGTAAAAGAAGTTCAATACATTAAAGCTGAGGTTGGCCCCCTCTGACTTAAGTATTTACCTCTTATGGATTTTGTTAGTATTCTAATTCTTGTCTATTTCCAAGTTTATTCCATTACCACTGGATTTTACATAGACAGCAGAGAGCATTCATGTAGTTTAAGAACACGATGAGGTATTTTCAGCCTTCAAAAATATTTAAATATTAGTTGGTACCATGTTTGTCAGAAGTAATATTTGCTAAAAGAATTTGTAATGCTTTGAATATGTTGGTATATCAAATTTTGTAATTATCATAATCAATGATCTCTTTTGTAAATTTCATATGTCAATGAAATTGTTTCTTACGGGGGAAAAAAAAAAAAAAAATAGAATCTGTTAAGATTGTTTGAGAGGGCTTGTTCAAGCATACAGTTTACTTGTGCTTACCCTCATCTAAACACATTTTTGCACTATTTTGTTTTATCCCTTCTGCTGATGAAATAATCTAAGTGGGAGAAAATAAGTAGGGAATAGTTATTAGACAATAAGTGGTCATTAATATTTTTGGGGATCAATCTTCTTTCTCGTTTCGTTTCTTTCAGTGTCTCTTAAATTTATTTATTACTACATAATCTTCACATTTCACGTCGAGGTCCATGTAACTATATTTAGGGCTTTATGTTGATTAACAATCAAATGTTCAATTATCATATTTCATAACTTAGCAGATGCGTTTGATGGTTCTGTTGATGTTCTAGCATGTTTGGGTTTCTTCATAAACATGGGTTAAGAGGGTGTTTGCATTTTTTTTTTTAAATTTTTGTGTTGTTCAACGATGGTATTTATGGGCATGCCTTGAGCTATTGGTTATCTGAGGCTCTACTCTATCTCGTGTAACTATTAGTTTTAAAGTAGCACGCTTCTAATATTTATTCACTAGCTAGCTTTCATGTGTAATGTTGTTACTACTATTAATGTACTTTTAACCCTGGATGATATTTATGTGAATTATAATGTTATATTAATGTCTTATTTTATTTCTGTACCTTTTGCAGGTTAAGATAATTAAGTGCCTGGTGGAAAATATAGTTGTAGACATCTCATTTGATCAGCTTGGGGGATTGTGCACCCTTTGTTTTCTGGAGGAGGTGAGCAGTGCTTCCTTACTAACCCCGCCCTTAATCCTTCAACAGCTATAACGTATTAGAATGATACTCATATCATCAGTATCTTCTACTGGTCATATACTTGTTTTCATTTTGTAGGTTGATCATTTAATAAGCCAAGACCACTTATTCAAGCGCAGTATTATACTGATCAAAGCCTGGTGTTATTATGAGAGTCGAATACTGGGTGCACACCATGGACTTATATCTACTTATGCCTTGGAAACCTTGGTCCTCTACATATTTCACGTGTTCAACAATTCCTTCGCTGGGCCTCTTGAGGTTATTCATAATTTTGATCTCTTTGATTTGTTTTTTTTTTTGTTTTATACATTAACCAATACATGAAAATGTTTGTTTTGCACTACAGGTCCTTTATCGGTTTTTAGAGTTCTTTAGCAAGTTTGACTGGGATAATTTTTGTGTTAGCCTATGGGGTCCTGTACCTATTAGTTCCCTACCAGATATGACAGGTACATTGTAATCTAAGATAAATCAATAGTTCTTCTATTGATAAGTATGTCTTGTTTGTCGGGGAGTAGCCACTGTTTTAATGCGTTTGAGATTTTTACAGCTGAACCTCCGTGTAAAGATGGTGGTGAGTTACTTCTCAGCAAGTTATTTCTTGAAGCATGCAGTTCAGTATATGCCGTTTTTCCTGGGGGCCTAGAATATCAGGGACCGCCTTTTGTTTCTAAGCATTTTAATGTAATAGATCCTTTGCGTGTAAACAACAACCTTGGGCGTAGTGTAAGTAAAGGTATATAGATTTTAATATTTTTGAGCTTTTGGCACCAATTTGTTCTCAGTAGTGTAGAAGTAGTTACTTCTTGTACTAAACTGTTAATGTTGTCCATTGAAAAAAATAATTTTATTATGGGCAGTAGTTTCTAGGTTCCGAGCATGAGTTAGTTGGTGTTTATGGGCATTACGATGGGGATAAAAATAGTAGGCTTGTGCATTTGGCCTTTACTGTTATTGAAGGATGCGAGTTGGCTCTGACTGAACCTCAATACTCAAAATTTTTAGTGTTTAATTTGTTTGATTTTGACTTGACCAGGTTCTACTGTTTTGTTAATCATTTGGGACTTGGAGGCTTTTAGAACGAGTGTTATATCTGATCTAATTTTAAGTTAGAAGGGCTGATATTATGATAGGTATCAAATGATGAGATTAGTGTTAATTAGAAAGATTGAGGTGAATCAAGCACTATACTATTCCCCCTCATTCTTACCACCCTCGTTCATATATGCATGTGGTCCTCTACCATGAATTTTATACATACATATATATATATATATATATATATATATATATATATATATATATATATATATATTTCTGTGTTTACCTCTCCTCCAACTCCCACCATTGTAGGCCTAACTTATTGTTGCCATTTTTTTGTGCTCGGTGATATATTTGGCATTGGTTGATAGTAAACATAGAACTTTCCTTTCAATGAACAAGCAATAGCTTTAATGGATTCCCTCATTCCCATTCTTGTGGTGAATGGATTTATGAACTTTTTTTTTTTTTTTGCTCAAGTGCATCATCATGTTTGTTGATGAAATGCATGGTTCTTCTGTTGCTTGTTTTGTTTCTGTAGTTGTTGGTAGCAACTTCAATTGTGTTTCATGTGTTACCCAGGTAACTTCTTCAGGATACGCAGTGCATTTGCATTTGGAGCTAAAAGACTGGCAAGATTGTTCGAGTGCCCCAGAGACGGTATCCTCTTAGAATTGAATCAGTTTTTTTTGAACACTTGGGAGAGACATGGCAGTGGCCAACGTCCTGATGTTCCAAAGATCGACTTGAAGTTCTTGCGATTATCTAATTCACAGCATGTAGATGGTTCTGAGCATCTCAGAAATAAATCGAACAGCAAAAGAAATGAGAATTCATCTGGTCATGAAACCCAAGATGTTTGGTCCCGTGGCTCTCACCTTGCGAACTCACTTCAAGGTACTCCCTCGGAAAGTGCATCTAGAAATGACACTTCTACAACTTCTCGTAATCAAGCACAAAGGAGTTGTGGCAGCTCAAACAACTCAAGGTCCTCTGATCATAGTAGGAAAGAAACTAACTACTATCATGGTAACCTTGTAGATAGAAGTCAGAGATATTCTAAACCCGAGAACCATGTGAATGATTTACAGGGAAGGTTTCTGTTTGCAAGGACACGTTCTAGCCCAGAGCTTACTGACACCTACAGTGAAGTTTCATCTCCATTAAGGCGTAACAGAGTTCCTGAAAGTGGAAAAGTCCATTTTAACAGAACAGAGGCCAACAGGAGGAAGAACCTAGAATCTGATAATGTGGAAAACCAATTGAGATCGTCAACTGACGATCCTTCAATTGTTAGACATATACCAACCCGTCAGAGCATTGATGGTACTGGTGATTCGAACAGTGGTTCAAATAGTCACCAGGATGAGTCTGGCCCCGAAGCTATTGGCGAGGATTTTGCTTCTATTTCTGGGACATTGGCGATGCATCAGGAGGAGCAGGATCTTGTTAACTTGATGGCATCATCTACTGCCCATAATTTTAATGGACAGGTTCATCTGCCACTGAACATGACGACAGCTCACCTACCTCTTCCATTACCTTCTTCTGTTTTAGCCCCTATGGGCTATCCTCCAAGGAACTTGGGAGGAATGGTCCCCACCAACATTCCCTTGATTAAGACTCCTTGGGGCACAAATATGCATTTCCCACAAGGATTTGTTCCTTCTCCGTTGACTCCCTATTTTCCTGGCATGGGATTGTCGACAAGTTCAGAAGATGGCATTGAGTCGGGCAATGAAAATTTTAGTTCTTTAGAAATGAATTCAAGAGAGGGGGATGAAGACTTTTGGCAGGAGCAAGATAGGAATTCTAGTGTTGGGTTTGATCATGACAATGGGGGATTTGAAGGGCTTCAGTCGGATGATAAGCAACAGTCGACTTCTGGAGGTTTTAACATTATTCCTTCATCCCGAATGCCCGTCTCTGGCAGTGCTACTGTTACCCATAAAAAGCATGCCAAAGAAAATCGAGTGGCAATGAAGGATGGGAATGCAAATGCTTATCAAGATGACAGAGAGAATGAAGCACGTTACGACGATAGACCATCATCCTTTAGGCCCTCTACTGGTGTCTCACACACTAGTGGCCTAAGAAACAAGACTACCACAGTGAGTTCTTGGGATGAGTTGCCTTCAAGAGCCTCAAAATCATCTAGGGAGAAACAGGGATCCAAATCAAATACCTTTGACCCGCCATCCTCTTATGGGAAAGGCAAAAATGTTTCTGAACGTTCATCTACTGTGACCGACGAAGGTAGCAGAGATTGGAGTCACCTACCTAATATGGGTACTGAATTGGCCGAAATAAGTGCTGGACCTCATGCTACAAGGCATCAAATTACTGGGGTTGAACCACCACCCCATACAGCTGGGTCAGATCCATTAATACCTCTTCCTCCAGTACTCATGGGCCCAGGTTCTAGACAAAGAGGTGCTGATAATTCTGGGGTGGTTCCATTTGCATTTTATCCTACAGGGCCACCTGTTCCCTTTGTTACAATGCTTCCATTTTATAATTTTCCATCAGAGGCAGGAACTTCAGATGCTTCAACGAGTCATTTCAGCGAGGAGGACTCCTTGGATAATGTCGATTCTTCCCAGACTACCGATTTGTCTGAAGGACATAATAAGCCTGATGTTTATACCATCACTAATCCTATGAAAGGGTCTTCCGTCACTGAACCTTCACAATCTAAATTTGACATTCTCAATAGTGATTTTGCCAGTCACTGGCAAAATTTGCAATATGGTCGGCTTTGCCAAAGCTCTCGGCATCCATCACCTCTGATTTATCCTTCACCTGTTGCCCCCGTCTATCTGCAGGGTCGTTTTCCATGGGATGGGCCCGGAAGACCTCTTTCAGCCAACATGAATTTATTTACTCTGGGTTATGGGTCTCGTTTACTCCCTGTTTCTCCTGTCCAGTCTGTTTCTAACAGGCCTAATTTATATCAGCATTACATCGATGAAATGCCGAGACATCGCAGCGGGACTGGAACGTACTTGCCAAATCCTGTAAGAAAGCCACTTCACTCCCACTTATTTAATGATTTGTTTGGTTCTGCTACTATTTGAAAACAGATGCTCAATCTGTCCAATACGTGGCTCTATTAATTTTCTGTGATTCGAAATTTGTGCATTTGTGCATTCTTGTTTCGAAACAGTTTTTTTCACTACGTATGTTTTCTGTTCAATTGTTAATAGTGGTAAGGTGGTTCCTTGCTTTTTGAATGGAGTTATGCCTAGCATGTTATTCTTCCTTCTCTAGATTTTTACTCTATACTTCTTTTACTGTTTTTTTAGAAGGCTTCACCGCGCGAACGCCAGAATGCTAGGCGAGGAAACTACAGCTATGATAGAAGTGATAGTCATGGTGAAAGAGATGGGAACTGGAACATCAATTCAAAATCACGAAGTTCTGGTCGGCGCGGCCAAGTCGACAAGCCAAATTCCAGGTTAGACCGCTTGTCTGCAAGTGAGAATCGAGCTGAAAGGGCATGGAGCTCACATAGACATGACTCCATGCCTTACCAATCCCAGAATGGTCCGATCCACTCAAACACCACACCAAGTGGGTCGACTAGTATGGCTTATGGCATGTATCCGCTCCCAGGCATGAATCCAGGCGCGGTGACTTCTAATGGACCTTCCATGCCCTCGATTGTGATGTTTTATCCGTTGGATCATAATGGTGGGTATGGCTCACCTGCAGAACAGCTCGAGTTTGGATCTCTTGGACCTGTAGGTTCTGCTAATATAAACGATGTGTCGCCGCAGATGAACGAGGGAGGCAGAATGAGTAGAGCATTTGAGGATCAAAGATTTCATTCTAGCTCAAATCAACAACGTACTCCTCTCGAAGAACCTCCTTCACCTCATCTTCAGAGGTAACCTTAGCTTAATTTCCTTCACGACTGAATTATTTCCAAGATAGGAAAGCATCACCAAAAAGAAGATAAATCACGACCGTCGAGTTCTGTCGGTTGTATTCTTTGATTCTAGTAGCAGCAGCTTGCAGCAGCATCTCACAAGCCGTAGCCATGCACCCCCTTTAACTCAACTCCTATATGAGCAATATGCAACTCTTTGCACTGTTGTTCTTCAGAGAGGAAGTTTTTGGTCGAGGTGGGAGGGATGTTCCTATTCCACTTTGATTGAGCCAGGGAGGGAGGGGGTGTGTGAAAGGTCATTTTTATCCTTATAAGATGACTTTGATTGCAGCAGTTTGTATGTATATTAAGGAGTGAAATCCATCGCATTTAAGGGGGAAGGGACTGAAAGAGGCAGTGAAGGAAGGAAGGAAGGAAGGAAGGAAGGAAGGAACGAACGAACGAACGAGTTCTCGTAGGTCTCGGGCGAATAGTAGAAGAGGCTCAGTTTATGGTTTAGATACGTTTATAACTAATGAGGTTAGAAAGTAGAAATCATGTCTCATTACAACACGATTTGTTTCCTTGGAATTCCGTCACAAAAACACTTTACATTAGGGATGCCAATTTAGAGTCTCACTTTACTTTGTAATACTCTTTTTGTTTCTTATTTTACCAACTCCCGAACTCCTAAACTCCTTCCTTTTTGCTCATTATATTATGACTTCCACAGAATAGCACGGATTTATTTTCTACAACAATCAATTATTTTAAAGTTTGAACCTTATGAGACAGTTTTCTAAGGTTCCTTTTGGTTCCTATTTTAGCTTTGTTATGCTTTGATCTCTATACCTCCCACGTTAAAGACTTCCTACATCACCCAAAGCGTTAAACGTTACTGATCTTCAAGGAAGGGAAGTACTATAGAGTGAAGAAGTGGACATTGAAGAAGATGACTGAGGCAACTCTAATTCAATACTCTCGAATGAAGAGGTATATCTTAATCTTTTGTTAAAACAATAATCCTCTCAACCAAACGATCTTAAGTTTTGTTGAAACAACAACTAAGATTTAGAACCTGTTTTAAATTGAGCCACTCTACAATCAAACTTATCAAAACTTTTGATTGAATAACTTAGATGCAATCTACTACAAAAATTGCTTGAAACAAACATGATACTCGAATTTCTAGGGGAAAAGTCTCAATTTCTAAATTTGTGGGTATTTATTATTTCTCCACAAAAGAAACTTGCAACTCTTTAGATGCGGATTAAAGAAGTTAGTGACTATGATTTACTACCATTACCCTTTAAATCTCCACAAAAAAAAAAGGTTAGGCCTACAAGTAATTTCCTATCCTTTTTGCCCACTCCAAGAAATTATGAAATTAAAATAATAAATAAAGTTTTTTAACCAATTACAATTGAAAGCAATCTTATCCACTACTTCAACCGTGCAAATATTCACTTCCAAAGCTTCAAATGGTATTTCCTCAATTGACTAGCTTGTAACACATGAAATAATGGTTGAACCAAGTCTATCAAATTTTGTAGATAATGAATGCTTGTTGAATCTTTTTGGTCTTGGATCGTGTAATAAGTCCAATTGGAACATTAGGAACACTTTGATCGTTATCAATTTCTTAAAATATACAAGTCGTGTGCTACTTCTATATTTCTCGCAAAGACAAGACACCCCTTCTTAAAATACCGTGTGCTACTTCTATTTCTGCAAGACACAAGACACCCCTTCTTAAAATACCGTGTGCTACTTCTATTTCTGCAAGACACCCCTATACGATTGATGACATCAACACAATTAAAGATCATGCCACATGCATAGGGTAGTTGCATTTAAGTTCTAAGAACTTAAAAGAAGAGAAAAACAAAGAAGAGATTCAATCATAATCCTATTAAAGGTAACATTCCTACAATTTTATTAAATATTCATTACAAGAGCTAAACATTTTTCATTCAACATGGAACCAACACCTAAGTCTCCTCCAAAATGTGTCTGCAAACAAACTCCCCATGCACATTACAAATCAAAAGACATTTCTAGCCCACGGCATCCCTCCTAGACCAGCGCAATTTATTATGAGCCAACGTCCTTAAAAAAAATCTTGAACGGTGTTCTAAATTAAGCTTAAATCTAACATTCACATCATACTAATGATTTACCAAAAAAATCAAATTCTACCATCATCCAATCAAGTTTATCTAAGAAAAGTTAAGTATAGTACTACTAACGTGGAACCTCTTTTATCTACTCATTTTTGTGTGAATTGATTGCAAGATTCACATTATCTAAATTTGTGCAATGCCTCAATAGAAAACACATTTATAATAATTGTGAAAAAAGGAAAGAAAACTCGTTGTGATCGAACAATAACATGTAATGTGAGACAATTGGTTTGTGGTTTGTGGTTCTTGTTACTTCTTGTTCCTTATGTCCCACTGATCTTCTAATGAACAATTGGTTTGTGGTTTAACCAGTAAATTGAATCCCTCTCAGGCCAATGAGAGGATGGGGCCCTTGTTCAGGACCTAGAGTTAGTACTTAAGGGAACTACCTCTCTTCTATCCCTAAAAGTGGGTAGGAGCGAATTTCATCTTGCACCCCACGTCCACAGCCATTCATCCAGTTTTACCCCTGAAATGGGGCGGTTATTGAGTCGGCGAACTCGAGTCACTCACACCCATGCAAAACTAAGGATAATTCCAAATAAACAAGAGTTCATTGTTAGCTTAGGATTAAGATCGAGTTACCTAGGTCATCGAATGAAAAGAAAATCAATCTCAACAATAAACGATATTATAAAGTGAGAGTGATTTTCTTCATGGTTCGATCTTATGCAATACTCATTGCATAGGACGCCCCCACTCACATGTCTCCGCAAGTACAATTTATCACATTGTTTATGTCATATACAAAAGTGGGTCGCATCCATAGTATCCCCAAGATAAGGTACTCAGCTTTATCCTGTACTATAAATCATTTTGACAATATACTTGAACTTGATCTATTCTTATATCTCTGCATAAAGTTCAGAATATTCTTAGTTTATTAGATTTAGATTAATAATCTTAAAATTCACTTTATTCAATAACCATACTTACTAAATAAATATTAATAATAACTTTATTGAAAATAAAATATGTTTTTGTTTACAAACTATGAGTTTTATGATATAAAACCCAACATACTTATAGCAACCTCTTTCTCCTCGAAGTTCGAACTTGTCCATCGGCCAATTTTCACACTACTATATGAGCCAATAATTTTATACACTGCATAAGAAAAATCATTATACACACTATGAGAGTAAAACATGTTCTAATAAACATAATTATACCTCAAAATAAAGCACCAGAAAATACAACATATTCGTTCATGAGTCCTCCAAGTTTGTTCTAAAACTACATGAAAATCAATCTTTAAGTTGGCCCTTTTTTTTTTTTTTTTTTGGAATAATAAGAATCAATACCTAACAAATCAACACCAAAATTTCACCACTTCAGGCGATTAACAATAAAATTCATTCCAATATTTTCAGAGAGCGAATCGTACCTTCTTGGCCCGCTGCGGCCCCCAATCTTCATCTCCAAGAAGTTACCGACAATTGATACCGTCCGATCGACGTGTCATATCGGACTGATGCCCCGCAACACCCAGATTCTAGAGCACAGCAACACCATCCAATATATGAATCTCTCTCTCTCTCCCTCTCTCTCAGTCTCATTCTATGTTTAAACCGATTTTCAGACTTTCCTCTCCATATTTTCATTTCCAATTGAAGTTAGAAAGTAGATTCAAGTAAAAGTGTGTTAGATCGCGGTAGTGTTAGTAATCATGTTTCCTCTGTTTCGATTCTCTTAACTTGCAGATTTCTGCAGAATCACTATTCGAGGACGAAATCGTCTCCAATTAATGTATCATTTCTCTAGATCTAACAATCACACTCACAACTCAGTACAATTCAGAGCAATAATTTGAGAGAATCAAGCAATCACAACAACTAAACTGAAACAACAAAAGTTCAATGTTCAAGAGAATCAAAACTTACAGAGGGAGAAGATACCGATGGAAGAACCACACAGGCAACTCGCCAACTTGGAAGTCTTAGATAGCGGCTTAGAATCACAGAGAAGAGAGAGATCTAAATGATTTATGAAATAAATTAAGGGAAGTGTCCAGATTTGAATAAAGTGAAGTAAATTGAAATAGAATGGAAAAGAGAGGGATGGAGGGAAATGGAGAAGGGTGTAAAGGGGTGTCAGATGTTAAAGAGCCATTCTTAATTTTTAATTTTTAGTTACTCTGTTTTAGTTAACTTTAGTTAAAAGCTTCACAATTGAAGTGAGTGGAATACCTCCTCTTCGCAAGTCACCACTCCTTTCTATTTTCATAATATATTGTTATTTAAATATCCAATTGAATGAAAAATAATATCGGTATTCACGGTCTTTCTCTAGTGTTTTTCCTATTTTTTCTTCTTTAAATGATACTGTTTTTCCTCAGTAGATCTCGCACATGATATATTATTGTGGAGAAGCAAGTCTATCGAAAACCAAGTTGATGAGCTCAATTGGTTAGAACGTCGACCTAACAACGCACATGTCTTAGATTCAAGTAGAAAAAAAATGCAAAGCACGAAAATACACACATTGTGGGGTCCATCCTAGGTAGGCTCGCTTACTCCTCCACGCTGCCGGCACTAAAAGGCACGCGGGAACGAAGGGGATAAGGGGATCAAAAGAGAAGGAGACAACTGATGGCGGGCCAATCTAAAGGTGACAAGAAGCAATGGAAAGGCGCGTGGGAAAGAAGGGGGATCAAAAGAGAAGGAGACGATTGATGGCGGGCCAATCTAAAGGTGACAAGAAGCAGTGGAAAGGCGCGTGGGAAAGAAGGGGATCAAAAGAGAAGGAGACGACCGATGGCGGGCCAATCCAATGTTCGAACGGTGGGAAGGAGGGCCACTTAAGCAAGAATTGCTGGAGCAAGCTTAGGAACAAGGAGAAGGCCCATGTGGCTTGATTCGAGGAGGGAGAGTCAGCTCTTTTCATGGTGAAGGCGTGCGGGAAAGAAGGGAATCAAAAGAAGGAGACGACTGATGGCGAGCCAATCCAGTGCTCGAACTGTGGGAAGGAGGGCCACCTAAGCAAGAATTGCTAAGGCCCATGTGGCTCGATTTGAGGAGGAAGAGCTGGCTCTTTTCATGGTGAGTGCATCAGTCCTACTCGACGTCCCCAATTCTGATTCCAAATCCATAGAGGTAATTGACGATGGCGTAACTGCACTGGTGAGCGTCGAACTCGAGGAACAGCTCTAGCTGGGCGTAACAAAGGCACCAGCTGGGGAGCCAATTCAGTTGAAGGAGGAGTGAGTGTTCGCTCAAATCGGTGAAAGAGGCGAGCAGCAAGAGCACCAAAGATGGGTCCTCGACATAGGGGCAACAAACCATATGATCGGGGCCAGGTTTGCGTTCTTCGAGTTCGACTCGGTGATTCGGGGGACGGTTAAGTTCGGCGACGGCTCCGTCGTCGAGATCGAAGGGTGTGGCAACACCTTGTTCGTCAGCAAGAGAGGCGAGCACCGTGTCACGGTCATGCTTGTCCAAGGCGTGTTGCCCATGGCCGCATGCCCATAACAAGCCAAACCCTTGTCATGTCTTTTCATTCTAGTGTTTTTACTTTTGTAGTTCTAGGGCGAATGACGCCTCAAAAATATCATGTCTAGGTCTGCCAGACATGAAATGCCTCAGAATGTACTATAGGGGGATATGACTAGTTGTCAACTTCTCCCTACCCAAGGTTATATATTATAAGCCGTTGTTCTCTCTCTCTTGCTTGCTTATATAACGTCTCTTTCTAAAATCTCTCTCTGCCCTCGTTTTCTAAAACCTTCTTTTAAAATCGAGCCTAGAGGCTCGATCATACGTCGCTTGGTCATAGGCGACGCAAGAACAAATTAGCTTAGCTCACTTGTCGTTGGAAAGTGAGTGCTGCACAATCGCTAGTCCGCTGCCTTCAAAAGTGCGATTATGTCAAGTGGTATCAGAGCTTTGTTAGCTCCGTGACATAGTAAAGACCGAAAACATGTCAACGACAAAGTCGACACCCAAAGCACAAGTCGACCGGCTTACGCTAATAAAGGAGGAAATGTTGTTCCTCAAAGAAGTCCCTGATACCCTCCGCTTCCTGGAAGCACGGGTGATCGAATTGAGTGGGAAATTCGTAGAAATTGACGCAATGGGCAACCGCCTGGATGGGTTGCCAGTCGCAGAACTGATGTTTCGAGTGACCTCGCTCGAAGAAAGAGTTGCTCCTACGAGCAGCCCAAAACCGTCTGGTAGTCTGGATAGCTCTGTCGCGCACAAAGAGAGACGTGGCGAAGAGTTCGACGTGCTACAAAATACAATGATAGTTCTACGTTCTTTACTTTGTGAGCATGCCTATCCTAACCAAAGGATAGATTAGAACTCGTTTTTTTTTTTTTTAAATGGTCCTAACAACCACGTGCTGCATTTAAATTTTGTCCTCTCTACCAAGGTCCAAAGCGACTTGTTCTCTATTAGGTGATCCATCAATAGGAATATCCTGCACCCCATATCTCTTTAGTGACATTAAGCGCATATCATGCTTTTGGAAGTCCATAACTGAAACTTAGGTCGTGAAGATTCCAACCAACCTTGAAGCTATGTCCTCCATAGCTTCACTCTCAATGTTGGTGAATCTTATTTCTCGACCTCCAACTTAACCAAACTCACTTTATGATGTTAGATAAAACCTGGGTTTTTTCAGTTTTTCCTTATTTAGATTCACACGATTTCAGAATACCTCCGTTTGACCATGTGACAAAACACGTCGAATGGATCACCAAAGTTTTAGACCGCAATTTTGTAGGGAGTGACACAGATTTAGTTGGTCACTCTCAAGCCACTCTCAAGCCATTTTTAGGATAGTTTATATTTAAATATGAAATCTGTTCAGAATATTGAACAACCTGATTTTGAACGCAGTCAAAATTTCAGCCATTCTATCTCTTTTATTTTACGCATTTTATTTTTCTTCCAACAACCTCCCGTCGACGATTTCCTCTCACCGAATGTCTCTGGCTGATTATCGAAAAATAACAAGTGGTATCAGAGCCAAGTTGAAGCCATCGATGTATATCCCGAGTTATCGTTGAGCGAGTGATCAGGGAGACAACGACTGTTGTCGTTTAGTATCCAATATTGACAAAGTCCAACTATAATGAATGGATCTTGTTGATGCGCGTCAACTTACAGGTGCAAGGGTTATGACATGTTGTCGAGCCAGAGGAAGATGCTGGCATCTCTCTCCACCAAGCGCACCGCGCAATCGGCCTATGAGGGAATCAAATTTTGTCGGGTCGGGTGTTGTACAGCGAGTGCGGAAATCTAACATCGAGCAGCTGCGGAAGGAGCTCTCGGAGATCCACTTTAAGGACGACGAATCCATCGATGATTTTTCAATGCGGATCACGTGGCTCGCCAATAGCATCACCACACACGGTGGCAGCATTAGCGAGACAGAAATCGTGAAGAAGATGCTGCAGGTCGCGATACTCCTCACTGAGAAGGGGAATGGCTTGCACGTCTAAAGCTCTGTGACAACACCGGCGAGAGCAACGGGTCCTCCTCCAGCCGCAAAGACGGTAAGAAGCCATGGATGTCCCACGGGCGCACGCGCGGGAAAGATGGGAATCAAAAGAAGGAGTCTCCGTGACAACACCAGCGAGAGCAACGGGTCCTCCTCCAGCCGCAAAGACGGTAAGAAGCCATGGATGTCCCACGGGCGCACGAGCGGGAAAGATGGGAATCAAAGGAAGGAGTCGACCAATGGCAGACCGATCTCTGCTCGAACTGTGGGAAGAGAGGACACCCGAGTAGGAATTGCTGGAGCAAGCTTAGGAACAAGGAGAAGGCCGAAAAGACCAATGTGGCTCAATCCGAGGAGGACGAGCCAGCTCTCTTCATGGTAAGTGCATGTGTCCCCATTGTCTATTCCAAATCCACGGAGATGGATCCTAGAAAGAGTTCAGATCGACCGTTTCACACGCGCTCACGCGCCAGCTGTGTGCTGACCAGGCGCGTGGACGTGCGTCAGTTGTAGGCTGAACACGCGCCTACCACACGCGGCAGCTCTGCGCAGTCGCAGGTTGGCCAGTTCGGCTCGGCTTTGCAGGCGACACGTGTCGTCGCCTCGCTGGAGATGCGTTGCTTCAGCTGACGATCGATGCGTGTCTCGCGTCTGTCACGCCGCCGGCCGACCTTCTCTTTTCTTTTTTTTTTCTTTTTCTTCTGTCTTCTGAAATCCGTAACACAGTCCCCTTTTCCGATTTTCATATCTTTCAATCCGTAGATCGGATCGGTATGATTTCTTCGGCAAAGTTCTAGATCGTGTCACAGGCTACGTCCTAGTATTTTTTGTAATTTTTTTGCTTGACTACAGGTCGAGTTAAGAGCGTCGGAAGTTCGCTCACCGTTCTTGGACGATTCTTGGGTTTCTGCCTTCGGATTGTAGTTTCAGCCAAACTTCTTCAAAGATCCTGTATAGAGTTGTTCCTAAATGAATATATCAAGGTTTCAGATCTTGTTTCACAAAGGAAAATCGTAGATTTGAGAAAACGTTCAAGATCTTACCTCGTGGGTTTTTCTGATTTCTTGATGGAAAATGGGACTCCGGCCACCCACATTCTCTTTTCCCTTCCAAGAAGGGCTCCTTACATCATGATCTTGACCGGAGTAGGTAGTTTTCGGTGAGTCTTCCGGCCGTTCATTCTTCCTCCTCTCTCTAGGTTCTCTCTAACCCCTTTCTCTCACTATTTTTCTTGCCGGACTCTAGATAGGGTTTCATTTGGACCCCTTCAGTGGTTAGAGGGCTCTCGACTTCTCCTTCTTTGTTATTACAGGAAAAGAAAAAAAAAAAACTCAAATTGTTCTAAACTTTTCAAAAAAGAGAAAAAAGAAAAAAGAAAAAGTGTTTTCTATATTAACCCCCAACAATATAAGTTTGTTTTATACATAATTCCAAAAGGAAATAATCTTATGCCATCTTATAATTAATAATATTATTTGTATTAGTGGTATGATCTTAAATTCTACGTAAGATGCTACAGCAATAAAGACCAACAATGTCACGAACCAAGTGTTTGGGTTCCTTTCTAAAGAATCAAATTTTAATTTGAAAATAAAATTAAGAAAAATCAAAATTGTACTAACATTATTGATGAATCGTTGTATATAAATGTCTTTAAATACACAATCTAACAAACAATAATTGAGGATTTGTGGGGTAAAATTTAAAAACAATAAGTATATGCATTTTTTAAATTTCCAAATTAATTTTTGTTTTTTAAATTTGAGAGAATCAATGTTTATTCATTTAATAACGATAATAATTTTAAATTTGAAAAACTAAATAATAAATAATAATAAATTCAAAGCATTATTAAATAAATGAGTCATGTATTTTGATATGATTTTGATATGATGATGTATATGCTATTGCTGACCTGAGATGGATGACGATATGATACATTATGATAATATCTCATGTTATGATGATGTGCATGCATGAATGTCATGTTGCAATAAAGAGTTCTCTGATGCATAACCCTAAGTTATGTTATAAATGTATGAAAGCATATGCATGCATCTTACCTAGGGTAATATGTGAGGAATGTGGGGCATGTTGTGTCACATGAGTGATTAAGATGAAAAGTATTAGAGATCTCATGCATATTGTATGTTCATTTACATCTGGATACTTACCCTTTTATGATGAGTACGTACTCATCACTATGATGATGATGATAACTATCATGCTTGGCATGATATATGATGACCATTGTACCTCCCGACTTTCGACTACAGCCAACTAGCCCGACTATGAAGGCCAAGGGGGTATGCGAGCCCACCTAGTGGACCTACGTTCACACGTGTGAGTCGTGTATAGGAAAATACTATGCATCCAATTTTGGAGGTCACCTCAGAGATTGGTTTTAAATGTAGGAAAGTACTACACATCCAATTCTTTGTCGAGAAAAACAAAATTGTTCGGGTATAAAAGGCACCAAATAGATGCCTTCCTTGTACAACAAATTGAAACAATATGAGATCCTTAGCGCTTTACATCCTGGATTTTCTTTGTGTTGCTACTCCTAACATTGAAGGCAACCACCTGTGTTTCTCATCCTCAGATTCAGACGTCCATTCTTACAAAAACTTCATCCAACAATTACGACAATATTTCACCATAAACACTTCTATACTCTACGATATACCCATCTTGAAACACTCTGTGCCTCCTTCTCAACGCTTCCTCACCATCAACCTCGACAATCCCTATGGGGAAGACATCTTTGTAGCGGTAGACGTGCTAACTCTTAGACCGGTCGGGTACCGCTCAAACGACACCTCCTATGTCTTTTTCGATGCCCCCCGGGTAGCTTTTGAGACCGTCTTCCCCTCCACTTGTCGGGTTCTATTGGGTTTCAATAGCGACTTTGAATCCATAGAGAACGCTGCTGCTACTTCCAGACTCGACACGCTCCTTGGGTTAGCTCCGTTCGAGTCGGCCGTCTCCGACTTGTTTCATTACCGTCAAGACTTGGTCCCTGTCTCGTTCCTTGTCATCATTCAAATTTTTTTTAGAAGCAACCAAATTCAAATTCATTGAGCAAAGTGTTGTTAATAGCTTGAAGAATGGCGTACCCTTCAAACCTACCCTCGCAATTCTTAGTTTACAAGATAATTGGGCCAAGCTTTCGTGCAAATCCAAGCATCTTCTTCACTACAAGGACTATTTAGAGAGCCCATTGAGCTTTACGATTCAAATCACAGAATCATCCAAGTGGATAGCATATATTATCCAATTATAATTCCTAACATGGCTTTGCAGCTATACCAATGCAATATTGGTACAAATTTTATAAGGATGCCTAGCGTTGGAGGTGACCCATGCTACGTTCAAACACGAACTGCACGCATTAGTGGGCTAGAGGGGTTTTGCGTTGAAGCAGACAATAAGGGTTGGAGTGATGGCAATCCGGTCATTTTGTCCCCATGTGGAGAGCAATTAACACAAAGATGGAGTTTTCAAAGCGATGGGAGAATTGGGTATTCGGGAAAGTGCTTGAGCTTTAATCTCTCCAGCTATGTGGTTACTTACAATTGTAGTGAGGGTGCAGCAGGCAGCATTAGATGGAAAGTGTCAGTGGAGGGGATGATCAGCAACCCCAACTCTGACCTTGTGTTGACAGCCAACGCATCAAGGAGAAGCGCCATGCTGACGGCGGAGCCCAACGCAAAGACACTTGGGCAGAGTTGGAGAGTGGGAAATTACGTTTGGCCAATTGTAGGTTCCATTATAGGGTTGGAAGAGACGTGTTTGGAGTCGATGGATAACAACGCAAAGGTTTGGTTGGAGAAGTGTGTGGAGCAGAAGGCAGAGCAATATTGGGCGCTTTACAGTGATGGAAGTATAAGAGTAAATAGTAGCCGTAATTTCTGCGTGTCGGCAGCTTCAGATTCCCCAGGGGGCCTTATTACCATCACTAAATGCAATGGATCATCAAAGCAACGCTGGGCTTTCATGGCGGATGCCACAATCTTGAACCCCAAATCTGGGTTGGTCATGGAGGTTGAAGGCTCTCAAGTTTCCCGAAGCAAAATTATTTTATACCCCATAAAGGGTCGTTCTAGCCAACAATGGACTTTATTCTACTAAGTTTTGCGCTTATCCACACATGAAGTTAATGCATCTACTCCTCTACGTGAGTACGTACATTATTGTAAAGATTTAATAAGGCGTGGATTCTCTCTTAATCATCTTGGTTTATGTATTATATATTTCGTGTTATATATTTCTCGTGGAGAGTATTATTATCAAATGTTTGGTTGCTCAAGCTATACATGAAATATAATAGTCTAGAATATTTGCTTAAACCAACTCACATAAATGGTGGTGAAAGTTATCTATTTATAATTATTTACGGAATCAAATAAATTACAAATGAAATGGAAATATCATTAAATGGATACACTATATAAATATCATATATTACCTATAATAAATTGTCAAATATGATACCTATGTTAAAATGTAATGGAAAGCTAAATATGTACCAAGATATTTGTTTATAATAAAGGTTAAATATGATATATGATAAACCATAATTGCTAAATATCTTCAACTCCAGTAACGGTAGGTAGTCTACTAGAGTTGAGCAATGTGAAGAGTATCACCATAACCTACACTTCCCTTTCTGCTCCGATACCGTACCGTCGAGATAGAGCTCCGGTACAAAGATTCTTGAGCCAGGCAGATCCGAATAGGGAAGTGTGACAGGTGCCCCAACATAGTAGTGATAGCTAAGGGTCTTTTGAACCGGACTCTTGGGTCGTAGAAACCCGTCCCTGAGCGGGGGAACGTGGAACCACGTAGGATGACTTAGTAGTTGTTCGGCACACCGAGGATAGCAACCCCCGATTTTATGGATGTATGGTTTCGTGGGAGGTTTGTTAGCTAACTTCCACGGATGATGTTCAAGCAGAGTTACTTATTTAGATCCAGGCATACGATCCTCTCAGATTTACTTGTGAGGTCGCGCCTCACCTCAGGACACTGATCATTCCATTGCATAAGATGGACAAGCCTCCTAAGATATAGAAAAGAGAGTTGTAGCATGATTCGCACTCACTAGAACTCAAGAGATAAGACCGTAGATACCTACTAAGATAAGGATGCGAAAAGAGTCTACAAAGTAGATTGCTTACTGAGTATATTTTTATACTCACCCCTTTTTCCCTTTTTTTTCAGGTACCATTCGATACAGGGAGGTGTTCGAGAGTTGCACTGTCACAGAGGGGTGTCGTTACGGAGCTTCCGTCAATTTTCATATTTAGAGTCTTTTGTAGTTCATTTTATATTTGTATTTACCCTTTGTTTTGTAACATTTGACTTTTATTTTTTATTTAATTTTGGAAACATTGACTTCCTTTACTTGTTTTAAATTTTAGGGATTTTTTTCTTCTATTTAATTTTCTTTAAAATTTTATTTATTTTCAATATCGTCTTCTTAGTTACAATTCGGTTTTTCGAAATTTCGAAAATTGGGTAGGACATTGATAAACAGCATAAACCTCAAAAATCCTATGCTTAGAATTTGAACCAAGATTCAGAATAAAGATTTGGTCATAATGGCCCCAAGGATTCTCCTGTGTCTCCCGCTACATAGACTAAAGCTAGGCATCGCACAAAGTGAGGCATTCCACCGGGGTGAGATAAAAATATATGATCATGATGTACCATGTAAGAAGTTTAGAGTGGTACCTAGCTGTCTGAGTGTCGTAATAAGCTTAGGGTCTTAGTTGTGCATTAAAAAAAAATAGCCTACTTCAAAACTCAATACCGCTCAGAACGCAAGTGAAAATGCGCTGGTTATGCAAAATTTGGCTCCCAACCATCGAGTTAGGGCATTCCCCCACCCCAATGCCAAAAAATAATTTTTTCGCTACCGAGCGAAAAACCGCTCCATTTCAAAACCGCCTTAGAATGCAAGCGATAACGCGCCGGTTTCACAAAATTCGGCAACCAGCCATTGAGTTGGGGCATTCCCCACCCCAATGCCAAGAAATAATTTTTAGCTACTGAGTGAAAAAACCGCTCCATTTCAAAACTCAAAACCGCCCTAGAATGCAAGCGAAAACGCGACAGTTTCGCAAAATTGGGCTCCCAACCATCGAGTTGGGGCATTCCCCACCCCAATGCCAAGAAATAATTTTTTCGCTACTGAGCGAAAAAACCGCTCCATTTAAAAACTCAAAACCGCCCTAGAACGCAAGCGAAAACACAACGGCTTCGCAAAATTAGGCTCCCAACCATCGAGTTGGGGCATTCTCCACCCCAATGCCAAGAAATAATTTTTTCGCTACCAAGCGAAAAAACGGCTTCATTTCAAAACTCAAAATCGCCCTAGAATGCAAGCGAAAACGGGTGTGTTTTTTTCACATGTACGCAAAAAAATATTTCTCGACATTTTGGTGGGGAAGGCCTGAACTTGATGGTTGGAGGTTGAATTTAGTGCACCGGCACGTTTTCGCTTGCGTTCTAGGGTGGTTCCGAAATGCCGCGTCTTTTTCGTACGCATGCAAAAAAACATTTCTCGGCATTTTGGTGGGGAAGGCTCCAACTCGTTGGTTGGGGGTTGAATTCGCGCACCGATGCGTTTTCACTTGCGTTCTATGGCGGTTCCTAAAAGCTGCTTTTTTTTTCGCACGCACACAAAGAAATATTTATTGGAATTTTGGTGGGGAAAGGCCCCAACTCAACTCGATGGTTGGGTGCTTAATTTCTCACACCGGTGCGTTTTTTCCTTTCGTTAAAGGGCGGTTTCGAAAAGCCACGTTTTTTTCCGCACGCACGCACGCAAAAAAATATTGCTCGGCATTTCGGTGGGAAATTCCCCAACTCAATGGTTGAGGACTGAATTTTACGCACCGACGCGTTTTCGCTTGCATTCTAGGCAGTTCCATATAGCCTAAACCCTAGTTAAGGCGTGAAATGTAGGTCGTATGTAGTTGAATAGAGCCCGACCCTTAGACTTCCTTGGTCGAGAGTTTCCACGGACGTACTTCTATTCTCCGACTCGCAAACCCATCATCACTATCAACCAAAATCACAAGTATCATCGAACCTTCAAAATTCTAATCCCCCTTCTTTTCTCTTTCGTCCCCTCTTTAATGCCATGGTCTGCCACTCAGGAACTATTCCGACTTGTTGCAATTACCATGCACATACCAAACCGTCTTTCGTCATAATTTGAATTATGAATATTTGTAATTTGTAATAAAAATTTGAATAACATGAAATTACTTGAGAAATGAGATTCAACAAATTATTATTATTAAAGGGAAAAAGAACGAAAAAAAGAAAATTGTTGGAGTGTTGGTTTGTTTAGAACTATTGATTTAAAATTGTGTATCTTAAGTACGAGTGAGACTTGTTAAAAGTAAAATTAGATTGCATTATAACCAATCGAAGGATCTTATATTTTGTGATAAAACTCGTACTATTATTGATATTATAGAGAGCAGGTGTAAAATAGACATTATTTTTTATTTTGTGAGCTCTAACATCAATTAGTCGATATTTTCATAAGTTATTAAATTAAGAAATTTTTTGTAAAATAATTATCAAGCTGATTGCATCTTAAATTTTATAATTCTATGTCATTCTTAATTTAGGTTCTTAGTTTAAAGGGAATCACTATGCCATTCTTAATAATATATATATAGAGAGAAAAATTAAGTTGATTATTACAAATTGTTCGTAACTACAAAAAAAAAAAAAAAAAAAAGTTAGATTAAAA